TTTATTTAATTGCTTCTATATATTGGTCAATGTTTCTGCATTGCTATAATAACTGTCACTCAGACTAGGCTACAATAGTGGCGATGAACAGGGAAAAAACCTCCCAGCAGTATGTCCTGAGAGTAAGTCAGAATGATGACTCTTTCCTAGAACAAGATCAGATTAGCAGCATGAAGAACTAGAATATTAGATTTAGGAAAAAGATATATGAAATAATAGTCATTATGCATGGTTTGGAAGGCTATCTAACTAATTCTCTTATAAGAAAAATAGCAAAGTGCTTGATGCTTCCTCTGGGTTGAAAGTTTCATTCTCCTGTTACCTGTGCCACAAAGATGTAAGTATTTTGTTCCGTAAACTGCAAGAGCACATAGTATAAAGAATAAAGTTTTCAACTACTGGAATTAAATTGTTGCTTAAAGTCAAATGTGCACGCCACATCTTGGAGACCCTTTCATCAAAGCAGGTCAGTTCACTTTAATGAAGTCGTCTTCAGTGTGCTTTGATGTGACATCAGAACCCAGCCAGATGATTCCAAATGATCAGCAAATGAATTTCCACATTGCAGTATTTCAAGGACGCAGGGTTTATGAAGTGTTTAGTTTCCTGGATTCTTTAACTTCTGAAGTGCCTAATTTGACTCTCTTTTCATAAGGCCTACTTTTTTTTATTTTTTTAGGGAACTTGCTGACTTCTCTCTGAAACCAAGACCCCCTTCAAGTTGCCATATATTGGGCAAGTAAATCAGAGGTGTGCAGCATCACTGCTTGCTATTAGTGTCTTTTAAGTCTAAAACTGTATCATGCAAGAAGATTAAACTGCTGTGTTTTTCCATTTGGATGAGGGGAGATTTAGAGTCTCAGACATGTAATTTCTGTAATTACTTAAGCAAGGACTAGTTGTCAGGACAGGGATGACAACATTAGGTCCTTATGTTCTAATATTTCCAAAGGAAGTAATGTTAAATGCTAAAGCTAGTCAAAGTGCCAAATAGCCTCTTATCCTAAATTAGAATAAAATAATAAATGTTACAATTTCCTTAAAAATGAAGCTCCCTAAAATATTTTCAGTAATATTTAATATGTATTGAAGTTCCTCACTTAGTAAGGTAAAAGAATTTCAGTTGTTTGAAATCACTAACTGCAACACAACCCTTGAAGAGTTTTAGTCATGTTTCAACAGAAACTGTGACTGTGGTGTTCTCCACTTTTCTTCCAGAAAATTATTTCATTAGAAAATTCAAATAGTCCTTCTTAAATAGCTCAAATATCACAATATCTCATTCCTTGCCTACAGCTTCCTCCTTTGCATGACCCAGTTGGAGACATGATTATATCACTTCCTAATTGTGAGCCTCCCCTGTGCTAGTTTCTCCCTGTCCCTACAGAATGCAGAAGTATAATACCAGCTGCAGGTTGATTACTTGATGCTAACCCAATTGCTTTATGATGATTGCTGCAAGCAAGAATAGAAGGTACTCAGACATTTTTGAACCAGTTTTAGTGGAAAAAGATTCCTAAAGTACATTTCTACAAATAAATGTGAGCGATAAAGAAGAGTGGTTTGTGATGCATGAAGTAGTCTGTTCAGTTTTTAGGGGCAAGAATACTGTTTGCCAGGAAATCACATTGGGCTAATGTTAGCCATTTGGAGTAGGAACTCTTGGTGTATTTGGTGTATTTGTACATTAATAGCAAGCTGTAGGCATCAGAATATTTGTAATAATTCAGATAGAACCAATCAGGACTGCACTAGAGAATGACAACCAGTGTCATAAGTCCTGTGTAGACTCAGCACACTCAGCTGTGTCCTTTAGTAAGCAGCAGTTCAACACAGTGCTATGATTTGGATTTATCTCTGAGTGAATTGCTACCAGTATAAGTCAAAAAAAACAGCAGGAAAGTTTGACTCATGAGCCAGCTCATATTGGCCAGAAATTCGGACAGCAGAGACACAACTGTTTTTTCATTTACCTGAAAACACAGCTGGGCAGAGATCCACGTGGCCAGCCTAAGATCACAAAAAAGACTTACTCTACTGCTCAGAGGAGGAGCATGGCTGAGACAAGCATGCAAAAACTTTCTAAATGCTTCTGCACATACCTGAAGACAGTTTAATGAAATGGCCAACCTAAGATCACAAAAAATACTTACTCAGAGGAGGAGCATGGCCGAGACAAGCATGCAAAAACTTTCTAAAGACTTCTGCACATACCTGAAGACAGTTTAATGAATTCAAGAATAATACTAGACATGAATGAAAATTATAGAAGTATTTGAAATAGTTATAATAATCTTTGGAAACCTCTGGCTTACATTTTTGCAGTTGTTGCATTAGGTCCAAATTCTCTAGGATTTAGTGGCTTATGCTGGTAACTCCTTGTGGGCTTTTTGGATTTTTTTTACCATAAAGGATAAGCAGGAATAGGCACTCTGCCATCCTGCTGGGGCTCAAATCAGTCCAGCTGAACTGATTTCTGTCTTCTCCTTGTACAGTCTGAGACAGGACATGAGCATTTTCCTACTTGTCTTCTGGGTTAGTTCCATACCTTACTGAAGGAAAATGTGTTTGGGAGAGGAAGACAAAATAGTTGACCTGGGAGGAACAGTAGTCATTAAACAGTGGGAGGGCTCTGTTTTGTATTATCAAATGTTGGGGGTAAGTCATCAAAGGTGGTCCAAGTTCCTAGTTTGGCAGTGTGACTGACTGAAGAATAGAGCTGTCTACCAATACCATGTTCCCTTGCCTAAAGCATGCTTTTCATTTTTTCCTAGTGTTTTGTTTCACTCTACAGCTTTGAAGAAGTTCATTATTGATTAAGCATCAGTATCAATCCCAGTAGCTTGATATGTTTTGGTCTTTCCTCTCTGTGTCCCAGTTATACAATACCCTAGAAAAAGATGTTTTGAAGCTTCATCTTTCTACTTTCCCCTCATGGGTGTGTGGCCTGTGGGGTTTCTGCTTGTACCTATATTCAGTCTCCCTTGCTAGTGAGACCTGGAGTTCATCTCCCACACACACCTATAATGAGACCATAGCTGTGTGAGCTTCTTGTTTTCCCTTCTTTTCAACAACTCACTAGGCTGGAATGCTTGGAGCTGTCTGAATTTTTCAAAAGCTTGGCCAAGCCAAGATTTCTTTTCTGTAGGTTGTCCTTTATTCTTCTTCTACCCTCCCCCCTCCTGCTAAGACTCGTGATTCTCTCTGAGACAGTTGAGAATTTCAGTGCATGATGATGAGGAACATGAAGAAGACATCAAAGACACAAACACAAGCAAGGTTTGTCCTGACTTGGGATCACTGATTGTAGTATATGGTATGTATTTTTGTAGGCAATGTCTGAAATTCAATACCAAAATTCCTGAGTACTGCAGGTACTCTGTCCTTTTCTATTCAGATGGACTATTTGTAGTGTTGCACTTAACCTTAGCACAGGATTTTCTCATGAGCACTACAACAGAAAACACTAACTTTACTCTTTCAAACCACTAACGAACCACTGTCTCTGTGTTCTGCCCTGTGGTTAAGCAGACGTGATGATGAAGCTATAACAAGTGAGGACAGTGTTAACAGTGAGGTGCAAGAGACATTCCTTCATGAGGGACCAAACTGTCCTAGACCTTATTGTGACTCGGAGAAGCCAGTCCCAGCTTTGTACTGCCTTGTGTGTTTGTTACTAGCAAATGTTGACAGTTTTGTTTTGTCTTTCTCTGTAATTGTTTAGTTGAAATAATGACATTTTCCTCTGAAAAATTTTTAATTTGAAAAATATTGAGCAGGTCAAACTCTTAATTGTTTTACTCTGTGTTGTGAATTATTTGGAGGATATTGGCACATTTTTGTATGGTATTCCCAAGACTAATTTATAAATAACTTTTTTGCTTATAATGACTTGTTGATAGTGAGCCTTTTGGAAAGGAAAGCTTTGACATTAAACATGGGATATTTGAGGAGCTGATTTATGAAAATTCAGCACCAAGTTAAATGCCTGTTGCCATGGGAAGAGGTTCTTGATGATGTGATCATAAAGGCATTTTTCATGTCACTTTAGTTTTACATGTATTTTTGAGTTGACCAGGAACATACCAGTGAATGAAACCTAGAAATGCATTGTTGACTGGCTAATGTCTTAGCGCTAACCACGTGGGGCTAATTGTTTTAGCTCAAGTGTATCTAAACTTTCTGATCCTATAAGCTGTATGGAGCTGAGTATCTTACATAATATAGTATTTCATTTGTCAGAGGTATGAAAGACAGAGGAAATCCGGAGTGATTCCCAGGTGAGAGATGGTGTCAGCTCCCTAATAGTTTTAGCACATCTTTGTGGGAACAGGCTGGGCAAGGTGTGCAGTTGAATCCAAATGACCCATCTATTGACTGACATAATGAAATTAGATTCACCCTGTATTTCCTGGTGACCAGTCACATAGCTGTATTCCCAGTATGGGAACCAAACCTGAACCATTCAGGAGCTGCAGGTGGTCTTAGAGCCTCAGAGCAGATGCCTCAGCTCCAACATTTACTGCAGAACTGACATTAGTATGGAGTTAAACTGGCAGATCTACATGTGGTAGGAATTCAGCATATCTCCCTTGAAATGAATGGAGCTCTACTGGGAAAGGGCGTGGCCTCTAGTTCTTATGAGGAAAATTTATCTTAATTATTTCAAGGATAGTTTGGCATTTTTTAATGTTTGGAAATAAAATTCCTGTTTCGAGGGATTTATACAGGCAAAAGAAGAAATTGTGAAAGCTGCTAATTGATTCTTCATAGTTTGCTCATTAATAATAATGCACTGATACTACAAGATGTGTTGATATGGACTCCGGTTTAAAAGATGAAGATAATTTCCACAGTGCCATGAAGATTTCAGAGCTGAATTTCATGGGAGTTCAGATCTTGTTTATCTAAAAACATTCTGTGGTCACAGAAGATGTTAGATCCATTTCCTTTGTATTAATAATTAGTTTTTGGTTTTTTTTTTTTTGTCTTTTTCTTAGGTTTGGCAAAGCCCATGGGATTAGTTGAAGGTCCAGGAGGCTTGGGCCAGGGGGGAATGGCTGCTACCCTGAGAGATGATAGCCATGAATCAGAGACTAAGTATGAAGAATATGGTTACAATGCCCAACTCAGTGACAGGATATCACTGGACAGGTCTATCCCTGACTACAGACCAAAAAAGTAAGTTGAATTCTACATTATTATTAAGAGTAAGTGATTGATTGTTGTTCTGTTGACCTGTGGTGGCATTATTCTCTTCACCTCCCATCCTAGTTAGAGTATGACAGCAGTTAGTCATATATATATACATCCCTGAGTTTAATGAAAAATAAAAAGACCAACTGCCATCTCAGGCATGAAGTGCCATGTTAAATGCATAGCTGATTGTAATGCATTAATATGCATATTCAAGGCCTCAGATCAAAAACTACATCAGATTATTGGTGCTTATTGGGTTTGGACCACTTAGAAGAAGCCAGGTAGCGCCAGCTGAGCCTGCCATCAGATGTGGGAGCCTTAGTCTGTGCTTCTTGTAGTCATGTGCAATAATGGAAGGTGAGGCAGTGACAACAAACACTTTGTAGACACTGGTCACTTAAAAAAAAGCCCCATCAAATCAACTACCTTTGCTTTAATTGCATTTGATGTTCCTAGAATTGTTTAGTTAGGGTTTACAGTGTGCTGAAACACAGACTAAGTGTAATCCATCGGGGTCCTATAATTGCTATAACATTTTTTTTTTGTTATGGAATGTGTGTTTATATTTATTCTAGTGTTATAGTCTTCACATGCCTGTGCTGTGTTTGACATTGCAATTATAAGTTTAATATTTGTACTGATTTATTATATTTTATATTAAATGCCTTTCAAATCTTTCATGTTTATGGAGTTATGTATCTTCTAGATGAGACATCCACACTGTCATCCTACGAATGACAATCAGTAATGTCTTAATGCAGAGGAGATCAGCAGCAATGCCTAGTTATTCTCAGGAGACAGAATTGAAAAGAATACTTAATTAATTTCTAATAATAATCTTCTGTTTTAAAAGACCCACTGGGGCTCCTAGGCAGAACTGAAAGTTAAATAAAAAAAATCTTATTAAGTGGCAAGAAAAGTTTACCCAAGCAAAACAGCTGTGCTCTGTGAGAAGATTGCAATTGAATTAGGATTTTAGGCAGTTCAAGCTGCCAAAATCAAAATCCAGCAAAACAAAACTTCAGCTTAACTACAAATTTCATTAGCTGTGTTACATATTAATCTAATCTCAGAAGTATTGACTCAGCATTTGTTTTCTCAGACACTTGCCATACAAAAGAAAAGCTAGATAAAGGAAGTGGCAAAGAGGAAAAAAAAATTAATGCTTTGGTATCACATTTGATGAAAGTATACTGACTTGACCAATGGTCTCATCTCTCTGTCTCACTTGATGTATCATAAAAATCCATCATGGAATTATTATAGGAAAAAGTAGTCTGTAGTTCTGTAAATATTTGTGTTATGCATCAAATCTGGTCCAAAGACCCTTAAAATCAGTGCGAAGTTTATCAAATGAAAGTCAGAAAGATTTGCCCTGGCTTGTTGTTAGCTCCTGTGGTCAGGTGGATAATAAATGAGAATGCTCTACCAGGAAATACAAAAGTGAAGGTTACAGAGCTTGAATTTAGCTCAGGAGCTGTCAGAAGCATGAGAGCATTTGCAGTGCAGTGGTGTTTCACTTCAGATTATACTCTTCCACAGTTTTACTTGGAAGCTTTGATGGAGTCGTTCAGATAAGCTCTTTGACATGCTTATTTTGGGACTCTTATAAGGCCATGCTGCATGATTAACTGTCTAAGTTACTTGTCTTCCTTGTGATATATTGACACTTTTGAGGTGGTTCTAGTCTGGTCTAGATGCTGGAATTGAAACACTGGTCTTTAGATACTTATGAGTCACAGGAAAATGGTTCAGATTGAATTTGCTGTGAAAAATAAGTGAAAGTTTAGAGAAGGTAGAAGCTCATTACAGGAAGAGTTTTATCCACTTGTATCAAAGGAGCCTTGTCTACCATTTTTTATTAGAAATTTCTACTGTCCTCAAGAGCAGCATTTTTTGTCTCTGACCCCTTCAAATGCAGAGCTACTCATCCACAGTCTCTCTTAGGAGCTGTCACTCTAATGCTGAGAGGCAATTTTCACTCCTTTCCCTATCAGCCTCTTCTTATCCACCAGGTAGTGCCACATCTGCTTACCTAACAGGTGGTAGTTGTGCATCATAAGCATAAAAACAAAGCTGAGCTTGATTTTATGCTTGGTTTAGACACTCTGCTTTAATATATATTGGACAGAACTCAATCTCTGGATCTTTGAGATAGGCTTTGAGAAAACCCCTCTTGTTTTGTTCAACTTTGTATGCTGACTTGCCCAGTGGTCTCATCTCTCTGTCTCTTCATAATAGCTCTCCTCACTGAGCCCTTCTCAGTCTACTTGTCATTTATATTCATGTCATTCCCAGAACTTTTCATTTTTAAAAAGGGAGGACTTCGCATTTTTAAATTGAGAAGCAAGGTAGAATTAATGTCCAAGGCCACGTACAAAGTCCGTGGCCAGTCTATGAATAAAAATACTTATCTGCATTCCCATTCCCAAATTATTAAACCATGCTTTTTCCCCACTCTGGCTTCCTTTTGAAATGTTCAGATCTACATATTTGCACACAGCAGTAAGTATTAAAGATATGAACCAGGAGAATTTATACTGAAGTCTACATTACATAGACACAATTTATGAAAGTAAACATGATTTTGCTATGCAAATGTGGGACTTGTAATATTCCAGGCTTAGTCTTCTTTTAAAATAAATTTTATCAGAAATACTATCTTTTAGTTAATTTTATCTTTTGACTCCCCCCTTATTGTTATCCAGTATCTTATTCTGGTAGAATAAGCCTTTTTTCCTACCTACTAGCATAGCTTCAGTAACCAATCAGCAGTTTAATTGGTTTTCAGGAGGTATTTTCATCCTCACACAGCAAATTAAAAAAATATATTACACTAAAGAAGTGTACAGTCAGACAACATGACCATGAAGGCTCCTACATTGGAGTCACCTCTGCGTCCTTCCACTGCAGTCCAGGAGGGTAGCCCTGCTCTCAAGATGCTCTTCCCATACACTGGCATTGTGTTCTGCTTTCCTACCTGCTGCTGCCAGTGCAGATATTCCTTTTGACTCAGAAAGCTTTTCTTTAAGATAGGAATTGCTAAGTCGGTACAGGAGCCGACAGCAGATTTTGTGCGTGTTGTATTTGTGTGCCAAATTGAAGCAATGACAGCAAATAGCTTGCTTCCAATTACGGTTCACACAATGATTACAAAATTGTAGTTTGATCCTAACGTGGTGTAATAAATATGTCTCAGCTTTTTCTTCTCTGATATTGCACCTCCCACAGCTTGAATGCTTGCCCTATCTCTGTGCAGAAAGCAGACAACCCTGGGGAAACAGTTCAAAAACATACTGTGAATTGATATTTCAAGCTATGTTTAGTTTCAAGAGACGTGCAATGTTGCAATTTTGTCTTATAAAACAATGCAAAGCCTCCTCAACAGTTTGTAAGTTTATTCAGTGTGTCCTTGAACACTATTTTCATTTCTTGTTGGATTTCATCTAAATCAAATGGGCTGATTTTAAAGTTGTGCTGATGATCTTTCCATAATGTATTATATGTCTTAATGGTGACTTTTGCCTTGAAGCAGCTGAGTACAGTGCAGCTGAGTGCTCTAAGATGCAAGGACTGAGTAGTGGGAATGAAATGTGTTTGAGTTCAACGTCAAGCAGAATGCTCAGGATTTATTATGGCTGATTGATGAGTATTTAGAAATATTCAGCTAATCATCCTAGTATTGGACTGACCTGAGATTTTGCTTCATGTACTCAGTGGAAAGTGGTTGATATCTTGTCTGTTAAAATACATGAAAATAACTCTGGTTATGAAAATAGTGGTCTGGTTAGTACTGTTACTAACTATTTAAATTCTAGGGTAAAATTTTTAGTATGTATGAAATCTACATTAATACCAAAAGAATTTTGCAGAATTATTTTTGTTACAAGGGAATTTATAATGCTTGTTATGGAATTATTTCCATCTCCTGTCATACAGGAACATATCAAGCTTGAAAAACATTTCTCAAGTTAAGGGCAAGCCACAGGAAGAAGGGGCAAAGAAAGTAGCACTGCTCTCTGCATGTCACTGATGCAGCCCTATTTTTGCTCCCTGGTGTGCTGAAGTTTTTCAAGAGCTATAGCACTGTAGAAAATACATTGCAGAGAGCTCAGAATGTCTAATGTCCTGATCTCTCTCTTCAGCAGTAAAGTATTAGGACTTTCTAGCCCTCACTAACATACCCTATTTCCTCAGTGCAATAAGAGAGAGAAGCCTCTTTTTCCCTTGGAAGCACACAGCTAAGCTAGAACTTGCTCTGAAGTTCTCTGGGAAAAGTATTATTTAATGGTGAAATATTATTTGATTAATTTCCATTTATGTTCTTCCATATTCAAAATTAGTGTTTTGATCACATAAACCTGAGTGCTTGGTGGAGATAAATCCAGTGCTGGCCAATGACCCTTATGTATATGTGCAGGAAACCATAAGCACATGTATATTAGTATCAGTTATCTCTACCAAGACGGTGTGGATGTAGAATAGCCTTGAATCCTACCTATGGGAATGCTGTGGAAGCTGCTGGGCTGTGTGCACACCTTTCTTACCATAGTGTCAAAGGGCCAATGTTTGACTGAATAGGCAAAAATAGATCCGGAGCAACACAGCAGAGATTTTGATAGAGAATCCCGCACTTTTGGACAGAAGTGCCCAGAGTTAGCCACCTAAAACCCCGCGTGGTCATTTGTCTTCAAGTGGCTTTATTTGTTAGGGGTCCTGAGAGTAGAGAAAGGGAGCAGGTTTAGCTGGGACATGCTGTATTGCTACAATAAGCTTCAAGAATGGCAACAGCTGTCCATCTGCCCTTTTGGGGGAATAATAGCCTTCACTGCTGCCAGCTGTAGCACAGAATCGAAGTCTGTGCTCCAGTAAGAAAGGATCAGATTCAATCCTTCCCAATCATGCATGAAGACAGAGGTACTACAGCCCCATGTGACAGTAGATGTTGACTTTATCAAGGATGAAAAATGCAGAAAAACTTT